TATATATAACAATTTTTTTTTTCTCTCCTTAAAGGAGACCCTCCTTTGCTGGAGGCTGTTTAAAAAAAAAAAAAAAGTTCTTCATTCTTTGTTTTCTAGTTGGTCCTCGCCATGCTCTTCCCCCCGCCCCCTGCACGGGTGCCACCATCGTTCCAATGGAGGCACCCGTGCGCACTCGTCCCCGCAGCGGCTGTGTGCGTCTATAGACACACACAGCCCTGTGGCAGGCCATGCCCCTTCATTAATTGATGGCAGAAGGAGCCTGTGGCTCCTCTGCCATCAGTATCCTCCCCCCGCAAACCGGAAGTTTGGGGTACGGAGGATCGCTTTGGGGCCGGCGGCAGGGAAGAGCGCAGCTGACAGGTAAGTGTGGGGGAGACTGGGGTAAAAAAAAAGGTGCTGGGCTGTTTTTACCCTAATGCAGTGAATGCATTAAGGTAAAAAACGCCCAGACCTTAATACTACTTTAAAGAATATATTAAAAGCGTCAATTGTATGTAGAATAAAAAAACATGGTATTCCCTGGGTTCCATACCACTGCATCACACTAAGTGAATATTCATTTTGTCTGGATTTACAAATATTGGTTCAAATAATCTGACTCCTCCATAAAAAAACTAAAAATATCTGAAGTAAATATTGCCTGCGTATAAAAGTACGAGGCCTTTTTATTTTTTATCAACTGTGACAAGCAGTGATGAACACTAATCAGCTGTGAGATTGTATAGATCCACAAAGTGCAGTGGCACATGTAGAAATCAATCAGATACAAGCTTTAACTAGTCTGCACTCTCTGGAAGCGGATTTCTGGCCGTTTGATGTGGTTTACTGGCAAACAATTACTCTTCACTTTTTTTTTATCACTCCTCGCACATACCTCTACATTATTAACATGCCTAGAACACTTTACTCAACTGTATGAAGATATGCAAAGTATCTCAAATGCACACTGGGAAATGATGTCTTCATACCAAACAAACATACAGATGCATCCACTTTGTCCAAGTCTACTTTGTCAAATAAATTAGAATATTGTGGGGCCAGATTCTCAGAGCGATTACTTCAAAATGAATGGTTGGTAGCTAATCCTTCGGACACCAATAAATTAGGTTTAACAGTCAAGCAATAGACAGTGGCCAGCCACTGATTTGACACTTCCTAAACAAAGCCAATTGTAATTGATATGCTTAAAAAATAACATCAAAAACTTAAAGCATCGTCCCCATTGTTTAAATACAAAATTGCATCGTTACTAAAAATTACAATGGCTGCACAGATAAAAGTATTGATATAAACTGAGCAATTAAAAATATTATGAATTTGAGCTGTATGCATAAGGCTCAGCAAGGTGTTTAAAGAAAAAAAAACGTTTATGAATCAGCTAACCAACTTTGGCAAAACGGTCCTTTGTTGAATATTTCCATTGGCATCAGTCATTTGGGCCAAATTATTTCTTAGTTTTGCAGCTGAGCCTGATGCAGGAGGTAACTTAGAGATTGATGTTATAGCACCCGAGCTTTCTGTTATTCTTTTCGATGGCGTTTTTTCCCCTGTTGGAGGCTTCGGCAAACGCCGTCGTAGCCAGTGATGCCGTAAAGCTTGGCTGGGCGTCATGCGTAGAGCAGGATCCCACTCTAAACATTGCGAGAGGAAATCAAGAAACAAGGGATCGTCACAGCCCTTCAAAGCAGTTACCCAGTCCCTACTCCCAGGAGGACCTCGTAATTTTCCTCTTCGAGAGCGACCACCATTCAGTACCACAGATCCATCTGGCAGGGTTGTAACAGTGCAATATCGAGGATAACCTTTGGAGCTGACAAAATTTTTGCCGCGTTTTGAAGCATCAAGTAGTTTTTGGGGTGGCATTCCCAACAATTCGATCATACATCCCAACTGATCACCTTCATCTTCTCCGGGTAAAAGTGGATAGCCAGTCAACAGTTCTGCTAGAATGCAGCCTAAGCTCCACATGTCGATAGGCATACCATACCGACCACCAAGAATGACCTCTGGAGCTCGGTAAAAGCGAGACTGGATATAAGTGTAAACACGCTGATGTTCATAACAGCTAGATCCAAAGTCTATGACTTTTATACCACTTCTACCCTGTTGCTTCAATAAAATATTTTCAGGTTTAAGGTCACAGTGGATTATTCTGTTTTTGTGCAAAGCATCCAAGCACTGTAAGATTGAGTGCGCAAACTTGCGAACTAAAGGCAGACTGAAGCCTTGAAACTTATTTTTCTTTATCAGCTCATAAAGGTTCATGCTTAGCAACTCAAATGTCATGCAGATATGATTGCGGAATGTGAAATTCTCCAGCATGTGGATGACATTCATGTTGTTATCTTTATCCTGCTTTTTCAGGTGTTCTAGGATTCGAATCTCTTCTGCCGCCTGACGATGAAATCGTTTCTCATTCCTCACCATTTTTAAAGCCACATGCTGGTGGAGCTTGTGATCATATGCCTTCACAACTTGACCAAAGCTTCCTTTCCCAATAACCTTGAGAACTTCATAACGGTATGCAACGTGATCGTGTGGCACTTGCACATATGAGCCCTGATCATCATCATAACCACCATTATTGGGGCCACCAATTACACCTTGACGTTTCTTTGCGTTTGGACCCAAGAAGAATATCTCTGAATAATTGAAAATTTCATGGTGTTCAAAGGCTGTTAGTTTTTGCATGTATTGCTTCATTGCTTGTTCCGGGGTTAACGAAGAAGACTTCACTTTGGTTGTCCCATCAGCAGATTTCAAAGAGCTGGAACTTCCTTGCCTCCGGTTTGTGCTTTCTAACTGTCTTTCAGGAACAACAGGTAGCCCAGTCTTGCCAACATGAGCGAGTCCGTTTGGTTGTGTTGTCAGTACTGTCCTTTTGTTGCTGTTATCTTCAAACAGCTGCTGCACCTGGATCTGTCCATGGCTGCTAATGTGCAGATGCTCATTCATTGTGTGCTTATTGCCTCCAATCTGAAAAACAAAGTACAGCATTGATAAAGTAAGGCGAAGAGTAAATATCTTTTGCAACCAACAATGCCGGCAAGCATCATCACAATTTATAACAAAGCAGTTTGGCATTAAAGACATTTTAAAAAAGGCACACTGTAAAAGAAGAGCAGTAATAACTACCAGACACACCCTCAGTAACTCTAATCTTCACTCTTTCGCTCATTTAAACTGGCTGCTGGAATATATTAGCATCCGGCACTGCCCGGTGTGCCGGATGCCTGTTTTTCCACAGTATGCCGAGGATCCATTGGCCAGATGCTATGTTACTGTGTCTCTGCAGTTACGCAGAGGCCAGCAGGTGGAACCACAGCAGGCAGCAGGGGATTGGAGGTATCAGATGAAATATGATCAGATTCTATTCATCTGCTACAAAGTGTCTCCGAAAGGGCAGAGTCTATATTGTCAATAGATACTATTCAGACAACAGCTGGCCAAGGCAAATTGCTACAATTACTCTTTCAGCCCTGAAGCACTCACTTTCTTAAAGGCATACTTCTGTCTATAATCTAATTTGGCCTTAGCAACCTCTGGGAGGAACCCCGATTATGAAAGGCTGCCCTATAATACATAAAAGAAAACAGTGGGAACCCCTCAAAATGGCAACAGCAAATAATCAGACTTAAGGTGCCCATACACTTTACAACCCTCGCAAGACTTTTGTCTTGCGAGGGTTGTAAAGTACTTAAATAACGTACGATCTGCCCATCTTGGACAGGCAGATCGTACTAGCGATCATCGCAAGCCCGCCCCCCTGAGGGGCGGGCTTACGATGACTGCAATGAGGGGCGGGCTTAAGATGACTGCAAACGGGCTGTGTGCGCGTGCGCACACCGGCCCGTTCGGCAGTTGTCGAACCAGCAGGCCACTAACTCGCCGAGAATTGTACGATTCCCGGCAGGTTTTCTAGCCTGCTGGTTCGATGGAAGACGTGCAACCGTTTCTACTGTACGATACATACACTGCACGATTCTTGTATGATCGCGGGATTTCCCGCAATTCTCGTACGAGAATCGTGCAGTGTATGGGCACCTTTAGAATCTCAGGTGTGGATTCCACAAAATAAATTGACAGGTGGTTTAACTCTCCAGACATATGGGTTTTGTGTAAAGTAACCCATTATTAACATTTACCTATGATGCAAATGCTCATCTCTTGCCTTTTTTAAAAACCAGATTTAAAGGAGAACTATGGGGTCAGTGTTTTTCCCCCATAGTTCTCCTTAGGGTAACGGGAGGACACAAACTAGCGTCCTCCCGTCACCCTAAGCTCAGTATACCGCGAGCTACAGCTCGTGATATCTTTATTTTGCTTTTCAGCTTCAACCCAACCTGTCCAGACACAGTTGTGTTCATCACATGCAACGTGCATTCACTGTGCTGTGCCATGCGATTCATTTGCATGCAGATGCCATGTGTCACATTCCGCATTTACACAGAAAACTCAGGAAAATATGAAAAGTCCTTTAAAGGAGAACTATGAGCTGAGTGCTTTTCACTCACCTCATAGTTCTAGACGACCTGTGACAATGAAACTGTCACAGGTCGGCTCAGTAGATCGGGAAGTGAGCGAACACATACCGGTGTTCGCTCACTTCTCAATCTTTTCACGGCACAGAGCTGTGACAGGGGAGGGACTGGATTCCCCCCTCCCCGCTCCGATCCTCCAGCGCTGACTAGCGGAACGGACGGGGGAGGGGGCGGGTACAGCTGGCTCTGCCTCTAGATAGGCAGACCCAGCTGTCACTCGCGCAGCTGGGCAGATCCCGGCATAATTGTCGGGATCCGCTTCAGCTGCGGCGTCTCAGTGTACCGCGAGCAGTAGCTTGCGGTATACTGTGGCGTCTCAGTATACCGCGAGCTGCAGCTCGCGGTATACTGAGCTTAGGGTGACGGGAGGACGCTAGTTTGTGTCCTCCCGTTACCCTTAGGAGAATTATGGGGAAAAGCCCTAACCCCATAGTTCTCCTTTAAATCTGTCCCTTTCAGAAGTCTAAAGCATTCTTCAAGGATCTTCTCAATCATTTTAATCAGCTAGCGGATGGTGAGGCTATTTTACAGCCTGGTGTATTCTCTGACCTCAGGCCTGTCCTCTCACTGGAATGGCCTGGAAACAGTGCATAATCCTCGGAGCCATCACCTTATGTAACCTAACACTTCACGCTGTAGTTATGTCAGCCTATCCGTGCATGTGGTGCTTTGGATGGATATAAATCCAGCTGTTCAAAATGAATAGGTTAAAAATATACTCTGCTTACTGCTTTCAATATGTGAAACCACTAAGGGCCTCAAGTATAAGGTGTCGGACTGCTAAACTTTCTGTATTTCCTTCCTATCAACATTTCAGTTTCCTGTGGCTAGGGTAGTGCAAACTGGTTTTCATTCAGACAATTCATTCATAAGGCCTCAGGCGAACATACAGTCCTGGTTACATGGCAACAAAAAGTACCACAACTGCACAGGGCAGTGTACATTTCTGCTGAGCTGCTCTACCACCATGCATTCAGATCTCAGGTTTGTTTGTTTTTTTTACAGAATATTAGATACTATTCTTTAGTAGCAGGACCTACTTTTTTTGTTCAACAGGAATGAAAAGCACACTAAAAGAGAACTAGAAATGAAGGAAGTAAAATATTAAATTGAAATGGAAAAAAAAAAAAACTTGTCACCAACAACCACCAAGGACATCCCCGATGTATTTATGTACAACAGGAAAAACAAGGAAGTAAATATTTCTAGATATCAGCCCCACTCAATTTATAGCTGAAACTACTGCTATAAAGAGAAAGGGTCAAAGTACAAACAAGGCCCTCCTATTCCTCTTGTATGGTTTGTATGGTATTGTATTGTAACAGTAGCGGCTCCCTTCCTTTTTGTAAAGCTCTGCACAAAACTGCTGGCCTCTATAAATCCTGTCTAATAATACCTCAGCCAAAACATAAACCATCCCTCATCAGTGACAACTGAGATCCTTCACCACCCACACCATGAACCTGTTTTAAGGGAGTTTTCTTTCTCCAATGACTTTTACCTCCAATCCACAGATATAGACCTACAAAAGCTGATCCTTGCACTGTTACTCTGTGCAATACAATTGTCACATATACCTTGTTGGCTATGGGCAGTTCCCTAAACCTCGAGTTTTCAGCAGGGGTCAAACATATCCTAGAACTGGCATTCTGCAGCTCAATATTTAACTGAATAACAAAACTGGGGCCCGCTGCTAACTGTAATTAACCCCATTACACCTACATCATTGACCGTCACAGGACCAAACGAATCCCATACTTTTCTATGGGGCCGTTTACACCTATGCAACACACTACTGTGCGATTCGGAAATGGTGCAGGTGCTTCTTTGTGGTGTGACACAGACTGGGAACACATGAAAACCGCTTGTACCATGCATGTTGTCCACTTTGGTGTATGACAACCCCTAGCAACCTATTCTTTATTTTACCTTCACAGGACAAAACGCATAACGCATGCAAATAAGGGCAACAAAAGGCATGAAAAAAACCATGAAAATGCAGATGGACGGGTGTGAACAGAGACTTCTACTCTAAGGCCCTGAAACAATAAGATTGTGTTATGACATAAACACAGAGGGTTTAGTGCAGAATTACCTTATTATTATTATTAAGGAAAGCAATCTGTTACAAATAACAATGACACTCAATGACATCTTTCTCTTCTTCTAAAGAGTTCATGCAAGGTGAAAACCTAGCACAGTATAACTGGAAAGAATATGCTCACCCCAGAGATACTGACAAATCAAAATAAAAGGCAGAGTCTTCTCTTGTGTTATCTGCACACGGAGCACCACTACCATTCTATTTAGCCAGGCGAGCACTACATAGATATGCAAGAGTCAACTATGTTCTTTTGGAACACAGATATGACCTAAAAATACTACATGTAATTAGTGGCAGCTGTAAATAACATTCACACAAATCAGGCTCGGTAATTAAAGTCCTGGGAATTTCATAGTAACCAGTCACTTGAGATTAAGTCCTTTAAACCCATCAAAAGACATTTGTGTTAAGAATCTTTGCAGCAGTCATGAACATGGTTACATTTATTAAGCATGCAATGTGTGAGCGGCCCCGCTGTCTGCTCTACAGACATGAAATCGAAATTCTGCCTGGCTGTCAGGCTGACTGTACCTTGCACATTTATTTCTATTAATACCACACAGTTGGCTGTATTTGGAAGGCTGGGAGACTGCTAAAATATGGCAATCTGAAAAGGCAGGGGTAGGCAACCTTGGCAGAGTGGCTGTTGTGGAACTACAAGTCTCATGTGGCATTGCAAAGCTCACAACCATGGGAATTTATTCACTTATTTATTACAGGAATTTAAAACAGCGCTGAAAATGTATGCAGTGCTTTACATACTGCACATTCCCGTCAAGGAGCTTACAATCTAAGGACCCTATTGTACATGCATACAGGGCCACTTAACCTTCCAACATGTCTTTGGAGCATGGGAGGAAACCCACGCATGCACAGGGAGAACATACAAACTCCTTGCAGATCATGTCCAGACCGGGATTCGAACCGAGGACCCTCAGTGCTACAAGGGAGAAGTGTTAACCACTGAGCCACAGTGCTGTAGTTGCACCACAGCTGGAGCACCCCTGTATTAAGGGATACTCCTATTTTGAAATGATATCAGATTATATGAAAGTTCAGTTTATAATTCTTACCGTGTGCGCTGCGTTGTGGGTTCTCAGTGGTGGCAGGGATACAGGCGATGGTGGCCCCGTGCCAGCCGCGGATCGGGGGAGGGCTGGAGATGGCTGCAGCTGGCTAGTACCTTCGCTTCCTCTGCCTAAAGCACAGAAGGCACAAACCATAATTTAGGATTATAGCATCCACAACATGCACCGTTTAAAATGCTTTAGGTGACAACATGGGGGCCAAAGCGTAGAGTAGACCCGATGGCCATAGAAGGCACCCCACCCCTTCCTCTGTCACACAATCTGCTATGTCAAGGATGCCATTGTTAGGGATAAACCCATGATCCAAGATTAGCCAGCCATTTATTACAAACGGAGAGTGAAGCAAACAGGATTTCCAAGTCAGACAGTGCTTTGTTTTCAAGTATGCTGTCCCTGTCTGGCTCATCTCCTGATCGCTGTCACACATCCATTTCCCCTTCATACAGTCTACAGGGCTGCTAAAAAGTGTCTCCCAGGTGCACGATGTAACAAAGGTGGGGGAGGTGACTTAACCCCTATGAGCCCGTGCAGGCCTGCATAGGCGATCGGCCTGTTAGAGAAGATGACAGGGTCCCCCGACTGTTTAGGATCTCTCATTTCACCAAAGTGACTCCTTCATTATATACCCACATGGCTTTACAGTTCACCCCCACGTCCGCCCGGGGCTCCACTCTTACCGGCCGGATGTACAGCCACGGCCGCCCCGGGTTTTCTGGTTAACATGGCGGATGAGGAGGGAGAGGCCAGAGGGGAGCAGGGACTCGAACTCCAGATCCGGGCTGTCGATCCCCCACCGTCTCCACTACCTCCGCTCCCCGGCTTCTCCGATCAGAGCGGCAGCGCCCCGGCATCCCCGTCACTCTCCAGCACAGCACGGGCGGCCCCGCTGCCTCCTCCGCTCTCAGGCGAGCACCCGAGGGAGTCAGTATGGGAAGGGAACAGCCGGGAGCATAGGCCCCGCCCACAGCACTGTGATCACCTCCTCCTCCTCCTCCTCCCCCCTCACTGGAGAGGGGCACCGTTACACTTCCTACCCTGGGCTCACTAACACGCCGCCTGGTCTTGCACCGGGCTGCCCCGAACCGGGGAAAGTGAAACAGGGGCTGAGCTGCCCGTTGTGGTGAGACGTCGGACGACGGCCACTAGTTCGGGGAGGGAGGGGACTCGTCTCCAGGTGACCAACAGATCGCAAGCGGCTAGAGCGTTGCTAAGCAGCGAACAGTTTTTGTGTTCACATATTTAGGAGAGCATAGAAGTGATGTGGTAGGGTATTTTTTATTGCAATATACTTAAAGGGTCAGAAAACCTATTTTAAAAAAAATAAAGCTGCTGGGATAGAATTCTGAGAGCTGCATGTGGTGACTTCTCTCTGACCTGGAACAAGCATATACATGTGCGGTGTGGAGACATGTGATATGTCCAGGCTTGTTTTGGGTCACTGACTCACTAAATAGGGAAGGGTGAGGATGACAGTGCCATAGCTCACACAGGTCATCAGTGGCAGCTCCCATATTGTATCCTGATGGCTTCCTTGTCACGCAGTGCGTTTGTGGAATATGTCTGTATGCTGTATGTGAGTTTACATGCTATATTGCTGAATGTCACTTCAACATACTAACGTGCATTGCAGTAACGCACTGCTGCACAAAGGTGTGTTCCAGCCTGCAAGTTACAGTATACTATCAAATACACACACAAAAAAAGAAAAATACTAACAGGTTCTAGGGCAACATAGTTGATCTGGAAAGTGAGCTGAATTGGAGATTTTTTTCAGTTCAGCTATTTTGGCCTGGATGGTTCACTTCTCCTGCTTTCTCCAAACTCTTCACCCTTTTGTGAATAACCCTGTAAATTAAATAAACTATGCTACCCAAAATACACCACCCACAAAAAAAAACACACCCTTTGTATAATGGAAAAAAGAGTAGATTTTGTCTTTATAAAGAAAACTTTAGCTTTGAGGTTCATTTATAAAAGTTCCGCTGGCGTATTGTGTTCAGACAGTATTAATGCCCCTAGATGGCGCTGACGAGTACTGGAATTCCCTATAGCTGTCAGTGCCATCTAGGGGCGCTAGTAGAGTATTAGCGGTTAGGGATGCACCGATACCGATAGTAGCATTTAGACGAGTACTGTACTTGTACTTGCCCAAATGCTCCGATACCTTCCCCGATACCGGAGGAAGCAATCAGGAAGCCAGCTGGTGAGTAATGACCCGCCTCCCGGCTTCCTGATTGGCTGGGAAGCTGGCCAATCAACATGGAGCCGGCTTCCCAGGCAATCAGGAAGCCGGTTAGCATGTGATTGGCCGAGAAGCCGGCTCCATGCCAGCGGAAGCACCCGTATCGGTACTTGGTATAAGCAAGTACCGAAAACAAAATATCGGTGCTTGTACTTGATATAAAAAAAACGGTATTAGTGCATCCCTATAAATGGCATCCACCTGGAATAGATATAACTTTACCCCTAAGTGTCCGTTCACATCAGCAGCATGCACTACCACACAGCCACCACAGCAGAAGTGAAGCTGTACAAAGTGCTGATTTTAGCACATCAGACTGTTGACCTTTTTTGTTTTCTTTGTAACTCTATTGAAATGTCACTGTTAGGACACAGACATTGTCTTGATCATCATCATTGTCCTGATCACCAATGTCACTGATAACAAAAATGAGCGTAAATCCAAATTTAGGACTTGCTACTAGAATAGGAATCAAGGGGAAATCTTCCAATGGGGACTCTTGTTCCCAAGACAACTATCCAAGAGGGGGATTTCCCTCACATTGGAAAGATATCCTTTCACTTCCTGCTGAGTCTACAGGATTGGAAGTGAAGAAAAATCTCCCTAATGAAACAGAAGAAGAAGAAAACTGACAGCAGTTTTAACCTTCCCCTGCGCTATCCAAAATAGAAAGAAAGTTATGGATTTAAATATAATTTAAGCCTTCCCCGTGCTTCTAAAACAGTGGCTTCTGTATCTGTGTTGAAGCGATCGTCTTATTTCCTGTCCCTCTGATCACACAGGAAGTGAGAAGGAAATTCCTCAATGAGGTCACAGTTATAAAAACCTAAACGTTTGAACTCTTTCCCAACATTTTGCCTGTAGTGAGGCTTTGATGTTGGTTTCTATACTGTTTATACTTTAGTGATCTTTCAGACAGCAATGCAGTGTATCCAGATGATTACAGCCACATGAAGGAGCAGGGTTGGTGTACAGGTCTGTATATAGATGAGGGCAGCAACCAGAAACATAAATTAGCCAGCTGCTGTCCTTGTGCTGGCCAGCTTGGTGACAGAGCTGTGTTTGTGTGGTTGCTTGTGAGCTCAGGCTGTTCTGATGTATGGCATGGTGCATGAAGCGTGGAGGAGACGGGGTTCCCTGGGGAGGAGGAGCAGCTGCCCCTATGAACCCCTCCTCCCTCTTGGCCTCTTATACAGACACTAGAGGCTGTCAGTCAGCACCATGATCATGTCATGGGGACAAACACAGGAACTCGTACACCCTTCACTACAATCTTCACGTGCCCTAGGGTAACCGGATGTCCCCACTGCTAAATAATGTCCCTGACAAATATGTGTCAAAAGAATAGCCAAGGAATTCATTATTATTTCTTCTAGATTGTAAGCTCTCACGGGCAGGACCCTCCTAACCATCTTGTCTTTATTTGTATTGTGATTGTAATGTCTTCCTTATATTGTAAAGCCCTGCGCAAACTGTTGGCGCTATATAAATCCTGTATAATAGAATAATATCTCCTATCCATGAAACAAACTTGCGACAGATTCATGTACATGTCGGTAAGGTGTAAATGAATCTGTCGCAACTCTAACATACTGGTAGCAATTCATTGAAGCATTTGCAACCCTCTTTTGGCATTATGGTTGTATTAGAAAGTCCCGCGCTAAAGTCACCAAAGCCATGCGATGCAGTGGTGTGAACTGAGCCCATTCGAAACAAGGCAGCGGTTCATAGATAATAAATGTCTATAAATAAGCCCAAATGCCTTAGGGATCAATCACACCAAAATCGTAAGGGAATCACAACACAGCAGAGGGTCCGTTGACTTGCAATTGTACCTTCCGATTTCCTTCTGTTCTGTTGCGTTGCAATCGGTTTTCCAACAGATGCTAATGGAAGGACACTGAAAAATGAATGGGACTAGTCCACACCGAATCCATTGTGTTACATTGCGCTGAAAAAAAGTGCTGTGTTCTACTTTTTCTTTCAGAGTAACACAACGTAATGGAGCAGTCATCCCAATAATTTTTTGGTGTCCTTCTGTTAGCATCTGTTGAAAAACGGACTGCAGTGCAACGGACAGCAACCCAACGGATCCGGTGTGAATGGGCTCTTAGAGGTGGGCAACAGTAGAAGTGGAGAAGCTGAAATTGTATACTGGGTAAGAAGGTGGAATAAAGTGTTTTCAGTGAAGAATAACAATGTGTGATCAAATTTGTTTCAGATACATGAGAGAAGCAAAGACAAGCTTGTGATCGGCACCTGCTGAGCTCCCAGATGAGGGCTAATGGAGGATGTGAGCGGTGATCTGCTTTGTTAATATCACAATTTGAAAATGTTATTAACCTTAAAGGAGAACTATGAGGCGAGTGAAAATCAGTTCTAGCCGACCTGTGACAATGAAACTGTCTTAGGTCGGCTCAATAGATCGGGAAGTGAGCGAACACATACCGTCGCTTGCTCACTTCTCGATCTATCCGTGCAGAGAGCCGTGACTGTCACGGCTCCCTGCAGGGATTCCCCCCCCCTCCCCTGTCCGATCCTCCAGCACTGACTGAAGGAACGTACGAGGGAGGGGGCGGGTACAGCTGGCTCTGCCTCTAGATAGGCAGAGCCAGCTGTCAATCACGCAGCTGGGTGGATCTCGACAGCTGTAGCTCCTTTAAGCAGTCCAATCCAAGTTCAGTTGTCATATTACGCTGTCAGATTTGGGGAGGAGGGATCAGTACATTGATGGAAATACCTTGCCAGGTCAGAGATAGACAGCACCAGCAATGCATTCTATGCAGCAGCCATATCATTTTTAAGTGTAAAGGATTGTCAATATTTTCACAGCTCCTGGGGAGTATATTACTATGGGTACAACACTGTAGTTATGCAGCCCTGTATGAACACGCTGTAAAGTAAAATACGTGTTCTAAAATAACAAAGCATATTGTTCAGGACAATAGCCCAGCACCAAGTTAGAACGGGCAGAGTGACTGTTCATGGAAGATCTAATAATAACATGTTGCTAAGGTTTCTAAGTTTGTTTACATGACAGTATTGTGACCTGTGGGATCACATTAGTGAAGTGTTTTTGGAGTTTTTGTTCCACTCATCCCCATCAGACTCTGGATTGTGGTAGATGCTGGCAGTCATTACTATTGTGTGAAATTGATTAACAAAAAGAATTCATTCACTGACTAGTGGTCATGAGTTGATACTCTGCCTTGTGGAACGGTTCAATGTACAATGTCTGGCCAAGAACAATTTAGAACAAACACTGGAAGCTTTAGGAGCACACATATATGTTTAACTGTTTTAAACACCTACTTGATTTGACTAACAAAGTGAGCAGCCATTAGATTAAAGGGCCAGTCAATCAGAATTGAAATTTCAGTAGAGGATGGATGCTTTTGAAGGAATCACCCATTGGCTTGTTGCATAATAAGGACTGCCACGGGGCTGGTATTTTACTGGCCTGGTTTGTACAAATGGGACATCTTACCAATGTATTTAATAACAAAGAAATAATATAGGCTTTGTTAGACTCAAAGGGCTTGATTTACTAAAGGCAAATAGGCTGTTCACTTTGCAAGGGAATTTGCTCTTTGCAAAGGAATTGTCCTTAGTTTAGAGAATGAGGTGAAGCTCTGCTGGCTTCCATCATCCAAGGTCAAGCAAATATGCAGTTTTTATTTTCCTTGCATGTGATTGGATATTCTTTAGATGAATATTTACCAGATTCAGTAAGCTAAGGGG